GAACTATATATATATATATATATATATATATATATAAACTCATAATCACACGTTAGATTTCAATGATATTTTGACTACTGATCAGAAATCTGGTCTCCTTAATGTTTATAGTCATTACAGTCAGTCACAATCAGACAAACAATAAAATAATTAAAATCACCTGATAATTTTGATTGCAAACATTCTTTATTATCATTTTAAAGCAATTTGAAGAATTGTTTTTATTTTTATTTTATTTATTTTTATTGTAAGTTTTTTTGTTGTTGATGCAGAGTAAATAATTTTATTCAGAAAGTTTTATGGGATGATACACAGATAAAACTACTTCACAGAGCCTAGTTTTAAGATGACATTTTGTTTGAAGGCACATATGTAGTTTTTCTTGACATAACAAGAATCGTAATTCCATCTTCCAATCTCTGAAAATGTGAGGGACAGTGAAATTAAGAGATTATTCTACCTTCTGCAGTGTGTCTTACCAAATATTTAAAAGTCCTCACAGCATCAATATCACTGTAATAAATCATTTAGCAAAACATGTAGTTTTTGAATGTGAAAATTGAAAATTGAATGTGATTATCATATAGTCCATTAGTGTCTCTCTGTTCTTACCTTTCCAGTTCATCTCAGCGCATTCCTCCAAGCTAGTGTACATGTGGTTGGGCTCACCACGTGTCCAAATTTGAAAATTCCAGAAGGATCCATCAAGGCAAAAAAAAATTACCAGACTGAGAGGAAGACAAAGATATTTTAAAGAAGAAAAAATTACGAAAGAAAGACAGAAAAGGTGTTTGTTTAGTGAGAAACTATAGTGCGTGCATTTAATTGAAAAACAGGAAATAACAACAACTCAATAATTTCTCTTTGCTCTCCCTATTTGTAAACGCCTTCACACTTCCGCCTTTTTTACCTTAAAGGAGACATATTATGCCCCTTTTTACAATATGTAATATAAGTCTCTGGTGTCCCCAGAATGTGTCTGTGAAGTTTCAGCTCAAAATACTCCACAGATCATTTATTATAACATTTTGAAAATGCCTATTTTAAGTGGAAGCAGAAACACGCTGTTTTTCGGGCCTGTTTCTTTAAATGCAAATGAGCTGCTGCTCCCCGCCCCCTTTTCCAGAATAGAGCTGGCATTACAGTTTTAAACCATATGAGTTTAAACTTCTGATATACGGTTTTCTGAGGGCACACATCCGAAGCACACGGACAGAAAGCGGCTGTCACAGCATGTGAGTACTAATCTAAGTTCTCATTCACACACAAGTTTACGTTAAAACGCCTTTGCCACATCACCAAGGGAGCGAAATCAGACGCGCTCATTTTCTCGTGAGTGTAGAGTGACGTGCCAATAGCTTGAGTCTGTAAGAGAATCAGAACACAGCGTTAGTATCGCTCTGGAGTCAAAGCTCATTTCCTTCTTCTCTTCCTACACTTAAATGCTGTGCTGCTGATGAGCTTCAGGTGTCGGTGATTGGCACGCACTCCACGGTAATTGCTGTATGAGTGCTGTTTCCTAGGCGACGCTGATACCACATTGACTGGGGTTGGAGCGAAATGTTATTTGACAGACCTGACCATCCTGACCACATCCTGGAGAGCCCGTCGGCATTGCCGTGGGCAGTTCCATCTCGATGTTGAAGCTTGAAGTGGAAGTCCTGGAGCGCGAGGAACCATCTGGTGACGCGGGGATTGGTATCTTTGGCCCGCGCCATCCACTGAAGCGGAGCGTGGTCTGTGACTAGAGTGAAGGTCCGGCCCAGCAGGTAATATTTTAGCTCCAGGACGGCCCACTTCATGGTGAGGGCTTCCTTTTCCACGGCTGCATACCGGGTTTCTGCAGAGGTGAGCTTCACCGGGTGCTCTTCTCCTTTCTCCTGCGAGAGAACTGCACCCAGGCCGGTGTCGGAAGCATCCGTTTGAATGATGAAGGGGCAGCTGAAGTCCGAGGCATGGAGGACGGGCGAGGACGGGCGAGGACGAGAGCGCCTCCTTGAGGGCCTGGAAAGCAGTTTCGGCCTCCACAGTCCATTTCAGCTTCTTGGGCTGCCCCTTCTTGGTCAGATCTGTCAATGGGCTGGCTATTGAGGAGAAGTTAGGTATAAAGCAGGGATAGTAGCCCACTAACCCCAAAAAGGCACGCACCTGGGTTTTGTTGGCGGGCCGAGCCGCTTGCCGAACAGCTTCCACCTTCTTGATCTGGGGCCGGATTAATCCCCGGCCGACCTGGTAACCCAGGTACTTTGCCTCTGCGAGACCCAGGTGGCATTTCGTGGGGTTCGCGGTGAGTCCAGCCCGTCGTTATTCCACGAGCACTCTCCGTAACTGATCAAGGTGTCTATTCCAGCTCTCCGAGTGGATGACCACATCGTCCAGGTACGCGGCAGTGTAGTTCTGGTGCGGACGCAATAGGATATCCATCATTCTCTGGAACGTGGCGGGGGCACCGTGAAAGCCGAAGGGAAGAACCTGGTACTGCCAGTGACCTCCAGGCGTCTTTTCTTTCGCGTCGGGGGTGAGAGGAACTTGCCAATAACCTTTGGTCAGATCGAGCGTGGAGATGTAATGGGCCCCGCCTAGCCATTCCAGAAGCTCATCCACTCGGGGCATGGGGTACCCATCGAAGCTCGAGATCTCGTTCAGCCGCCGGAAGTCGTTGCAGAACCGGAGAGTGCCGTATTTTTTTGGGACCATCACAACGGGACTGGACCAGGGGCTGCGGGACGGCTCAATGACCCCCAGCTGGCGCATTTGGGCGACTTCCTCCTCAATAGCCTACTGGCGAGCCTCTGGTATCCGATAGGGCCGCTGCCGAATGATGTCGCCAGGGGGAGTGCGAATCTCATGGTGGATGATCCGTGTCTGCCTGGGGAGCTCGTTGAACGCATCCTTGAACTGTCTGACCAGGGTGGTTAACCTTCTGCACCGGAGAGAGCGGTTCCCCTATCGCTACCACTGGGAACTCATCCTGGGCGAAGACTACCAGTTGTTCTCGGGGAGCTGTCCACTTCTTGAGTAAGTTAATGTGGTAGATCTTCTCCTCCCTCCGATGTCCCGCCTGGCGAACGTGGTACGTGACCAGCCCCACTCTCTCCACAACGGTATGGGG